AAAAAGAACATGGCATCAACTACTACAATTATTGCACAGCTTATTAAGAATATACCAGCTGATGATGGGTATTAAAGAGGGCACGTTCTGCATGGAAAAAATAAATAAATAAATCTCTTATTGTTAGACTTAAAAAAAAAAAAGAATATACCAGCTGAATCAATCAATCTTTCCTTGGGATGTTTCCAACTAGAGATAGAAGGGAAAAAACCCTTTTCTTTCTGATCACAAAACTCTCCCCATCTACTAAGTTAGGAACTCAACTGCCTTATCTTACTTCCTCACATACAAGGTCAGTCCCACTTTAATAATTTTGCCTAAGCTATTCCGTGGAATGCTCTTCTTCATGATATTTGCAGGGCTAGTTATTTCTTGAGATTCAGATCTCATTCAATGTCCCCTCTGGACAAACACTTTCTTAAGCGTCACTTAATCACTGTCACATCATTTTCCTTTAATTCTCTACATAGTACTATCACTTAAATATACTTCTTTTTAATACTCATTGTTATATCTTCAATACCTAGAATAGCAGCAGACACAGACTATACACTCCATTCAAAATTTGTTGAGTAAGTGAAAGCTGTGAAGAAATGAGCCCAAAGCCAGCAACCAGGGTCCTAGCCCCAAAGAGAAGCCAGTCCAAGAGAGTGAAGCCATTAAGAAAAAAGAAAAAGTAGATCTTCTGAAGTCATCTGAGTCATTTCAGTCATTCCAAAGACCAGCTCCAACCCTGCCCATAACAGAGTCTGATTACATATATCAGAGAGCTTTAAGATGTTGTGCACATACAACCCTGAAAAGAAGGGGACATGTAAGATGATCCATCAGAATATGAGAAGAAATATTTCACGTAAATTAAAATATACGTATTTTGTACTATCTTTTGCAAAGTACTATGTTTATGTCTGTTTTGTAATGTAAATAATATATTATTATAGTCATACACACATGAACACACACACACACAAACACACACATACACAATGAGCAGATAAATATACCCATACTGGACATACACCTGATACCTGATAGAGGTGAACAATCAAAAAAGTCTGGAGAATAGCAATGTCAATGAATAAATTTGTTTTTCTTAAGTTACAATGTTTCAGGTCTCTTTCATTTCTAACCAAGAGATTTCTGAAATGTACTTAAAACATATTTGGTGCTCAAATACTTTACAATGCTGAATGCACAGACTAACTACGGCTCCAGAGAACAGACAAGTGAAAACTAAAGGCAGACAGATTTAAAATCTACATAAAAATAAAATTCTAGGAGTGCTTGGGTGGCTTAGTCGGTTAAGTGTCCGACTCTTGGTTTCAGCTCAGGTCATGATCTCAGGGTCGTGAGATCGAGCCCTATGCTGGGCTCTGCACTCAGTTGGGAGTCTACTTGGGGATTTTCTCTCTCCACCCCCCTCTGTCCCTCCCTGTGTATTATTAGAGAGAATACACACACTCTCTAATAAATAAATAAATCTTTTTTAAAAATTAAAAAATAAAAAATTAATAAAATTCTAAAATTTAGACCCATCCAAAAGTAATCACTACCTCTCCAGTTATAAATTTCTCACTATTGGATGGGTTCAAGTAGAAGCCTCATGACCATTAGTAAAGGATACTTAGACATAATTTCAGCACTTGCAAGGCAGTGTATGTAACAAATTTAATGGAGTCATAATAAATGCTAATGATGTAATGATAAATTAAGTTTAGGCCTTCCCCTTAGAGGTCACAATTTAACAGAGACACACTTGCAAACATATACACAGTATACATTACATATCTATACACATGGTATAGTGACAATAGAAAATGGTGGTGATTGACTCTCATGGTGGGAATAGTTAAGTTCAATACTGAAGGATATATAGAGAAGCCAGTTTTCCTGTTAGTCGAGAAAGATAAAAACATTCCTGACAAAAGAACATGAGAGAAGGGACAGGTATATAAAAGTACATAGTATGGCAAACCGAAAATACAACAAATTGTGTGAAATTGTTGGATGACAAGGTAACTATGGTAGGAGAATATCCACAAATGAAGCTGCTGGATAAGTGGCTAGGAGCCAAATTGTGAAAGTTCATTTCACGGAGTTTGAAAGAGGTCACAGAATAATAAAAATAATTGTCTTCTACAGTGTACTACTTTGTACCAGACACATACCTAAACTCTTTAGACACTTTATCACTTTTAATGCTCAGAAGATCCCTATCATTACCTACACTTTCTAAGTAGGAAAACAGGCTAGAGAGAAACCAAGTAATTTGCCTAAAATCACAGTTAAATTAGAGTCAGAGACAGAACTCACTGAAGGATTCTGAAAAGAGATGTATTTTGAATAAGTAACATATACTTCAGGAAAAGGTCTAGGAGGCGGTATGGATAATGGTGTGGAAGTAGAATAGGCTAGTTTTAGGGAAAGGACAGAGACAAAGATAATCCAAATGAGAGCTACTAAGGAAGTGGGAACAAGGAAAGGAAAACTCAAAGATTTCACTGGTTTCTAGCTTTGAGAAAGCAGTTAGAAAAGCAAGTTTGGGTAGATGTAATGAGGCATAAAATGAAGGAGATGAGATATAAAATGATTAGTCTGAGCCTAGGCAATATGGTCACGTTTAGTTTGAGGTTTCAGTAAAAGAAAGACCAGGGCACCTGGGTGGCTCAGTTGGTTAAGAGTTTGCCTTCAGCTCAGGTCATGATCTCGGGGTCCTGGGATCGAGCCCCGAGTTGGGCTCCCTGCTGAGTGGGGAGTCTGCTTCTCCCTCTGCCCCTCCCCCTGTTCATGCTCTCTCTCTCTCAAATAAATATTTTTTAAAAAAAAGACCAGTAGGATGCAGTCCAATAGGAAGTTGACTAGAAAGAACACTTTTTTTTTTTTTTTAAAGATTTATTTATTTATTTGACAGAGAGAGAGACAGCGAGAGAGGGAACACAAGCAGGGGGAGTGGGAGGGAGGAAGCAGGCCTCCCGCCAAGCAGGGAGACCGATGCAGAGCTCAATCCCAGGACCCTGGGATCATGACCTGAGCCCAAGGCAGACACTTAACAACTGAGCCACCCAGGTCCCCTGAAAGAGCTCTTTCTAAAAGAGAAGTAGGAAGAATTGCCAGGATAAACATATTTAGAAAACATAAATGTACAAACAGCAATTAAAAATTTAGGCGAAGTAAAGTGAAAAATATATATCCACAAATCCATACTGATATAAATGATGAAAGGAGGAAGGAAGAAATGAAAAGAACAGAAAAGAAAGAAGGAAGGAAAGAAGGAAGAATGGATAAATTTTCCATGCAGAAAAATACCAATTAACTTATATAAATACTCTACCCTCAAGAAGGTGGAACTCCCCACTCCTTAAGTGTGGCCTGCACACACTGATTTTGTTCTGAAGAATACACATGGAAAGGGGGAGAAAGAATTGTGAAGCAGAGAAGCCTAACAAAAACCATCTCAGCCAAATGATCAAGGTTGATATGAACAATGATTAAGTCATGTTGATAGTGTACCCTTGATATGACATGATAAAAATGACATTTTATGTCTGTGGTCTCTTCCCCCAAACCCCTAACTTCATTCTAAACATAAGAAAAACATCAGACCAACCCCAATTGCTTGAAGGACAACCTATAAAACATCTGACCAGTATTATTCAAAATTGTTAAGGTCATCAAAAGCAAGTAAAGTTTAAAAAACCATCATAGCCAAGAAGAACCTAAGTACATAAATAACCACTAAATGTAATATGGTATCCCGTCTGTATGGGAACCTGGAAGAGTTTGAAAAAAGGATGGTACATAAAAACTATGGAAATCTGAAAAAAAGTATGGACTTTAGTTAATAATTATGTATAAACATTGGTTCATTAATTTTAACAAATGCACCATACTAATATATCAATAATAGGAAAAACTATGAGTGGAATATATAAGAACTCTCTGTACTAAGCTCACAATTTTTCTATAATTCCAAAATTATTCTAAACAATAAGTTTTTTGGGGGCTCAGTCGTTAAGCGGCTGCCTTCAGCTCAGGTCATGATCCCAGAGTCCTGGGATTGAGTCCCACATTGGGCTCCCTGCTCAGCGGGAAGCCTGCTTCTCCCTCTCCCACTCCCCCTGCTTGTGTTCCTGTTCTCGCTGTCTCTGTCTCTGTCAAATAAATAAATAAAAAATCTTTAAAAAAAATAAAATAAAATAAAAAATAAACAATAAGTTTTTTTTTTAATTAGGCCAAGAATATAAAAAACATAGAAAACCATTACTACTCAAGAGATAGGTCAAAGAAAGTAAGTCAGTAAAAGAAATTTAAAAGAAATGATCATAAATATACAAAGACAGAACGATGCCCTAGAAGTCATATCGGAAAAGTGAACAAGGATGGAAATAGGTATAATATAATAGAGGTCAAAGAAAATAAGAAATGAACAGAAACCACTGGACTTAGGTTACTGGTTTAAATTTAAAAAAAAAGGAAGAAAAGTTCAGTAGAGCTAAAAAAAGATGGAAGTTAAGTCACAATGGTTTATGATGCCTTATGAGCTCTGATTTTATAATTGTCTCAATCACAAATCTCTTAAAAGAGATTCTCCTAGTTTCAAACCTATCTAAAGTCTTCTCTATTCCTTGAATTCACAACAACTTAGTGGCCAAAATCTAACTCTTATTGAATTGTCTTTCACAGTATAAAGTATCAAGAGATGTATCAGATAGCATCTTTCATCCAGAAGTAACAGAAATTCCAAAAGCAAACTGGCTTCAACAATAAAGAAATGTATAACCATTATCAAATACAAGAGGAAGTCCACAGGTACAGCAGGCTCTAAGCACTACAAGTCAGAGCTTCAGAAATCCTCTGTAACTCTCCTAGGTGACTGCCTATGTGTAGCTTCATCTACAGGCTGGAAGCAAGAGATCAAGATATTCTGAGATTGTGATCTGCTAATTTTTGAACCTGTCACTAGCAAAGAAAGGGAACTGCCATGTTTCACTTAGACTTACCAGAATCAATCCTGGAACTCGGAAAGAGGACCCCTTCTCTGAGTCATGTGAAGAAGGTTTAGATGCCTGAACAAAACAGGTTCTGTTAGAAAGATAGACAGGAAAAGCCATCAACAAATGCTAAATAGGAGATTTTTATTTGCATGTTTTCCTAGCTTTGGGAAGTTTTAAAAACTACTTTAATACAATGAAGAATAGGCTTAAACAAATAAAGGCCAAACAATTTCCTTCCTCAAATATTCAACGAATAACCTCAAAGATGATCAGTACTGTTTTACAGGACGAGGGAAAATGTGGTATGAATTTGTAAGCTTTCTCTCATCAAACTTATATCACAAAAATAAAATGTATTTGGGTATTTTAAAACCAGAGCCCTGTAACATTTCACATCAATTATCATTTTGTTGGTGATAAGATAGTAAGAGATCTCAAGGGAGTAGAAAGAGCACTAGATGTAGAGTCAGGGCACTAGGCTCTAGTCCTAACACTTCCACTAAATTACATGTTATCACAGTCACCAAATCTATCTAGATTTCAGTTTCCTCCTCGGTTAAGTTAGAAAGTTCAGAGAAGGGGTTCTTCAAGTTTTCTTTCTGGTTAATTCACTTATTAACTAGATTTATATGGACTATTTAACATTGTAATTCTGGGCTAGCAAAATCCTAAAAACACCTTTCATGCCCACAAGCTGATGACACAAAAGCTTCACTTTCAAAAACTTCACTACAATACTTCACTTTCATAAAAACCTTCATTGTGTGGCCAGAAATGTAAATAGCATGATGTTACAACTTCTGAAGTAACTCAAGAATTTAATTCAATTTCTCTTTAAACCCAAATTCATTACTAAAAGGTTGTAGTGTACCTGTAGAAGCAAACCCTCACTACTGTACAGGAGAATGGAAAAGGACAGAAACTTAACCACTTCGAAATTCAATTAAAGACAAGATTTCTAACCACTAGGCCTAAATGAGGAAGAAGATGAAAAGCAAAACACAATGGAAAGCTGAAATTCAAGTCAAAAACAAAGGGAAATTTCTATATAGAGTAAGAACGGAGGAGGGAAATACCCACCCCAAAGTAAAACCAGTATATAGGCCCAGAAGAAATTAAATATCTCATGAATTTCTCTGGAAGACTGTTAATTTATACAGAATTGATAGAAATAATTTCCAAAAACAGGTTGGTGACAAAAACAGGAGAGGAAACCATTACTCTGCCCTTTGGGAGCCTCAAATTAATGGATTTTGGCAAACCAGACACAAATCATATGGGATGACTGGATAATACCTTATGATTTTAGCCAACTGCATTATGACCTGGAGTTGGTTCTTCTCAAGATTATTAATAATGAAAAATACTTGCACAGGATACACATGATTGCCAGGAAAAAAAAAAAAAATGTTCTTTGGAAGTTTTTAAAACAACAAACTACCCACAGAAACCACATGGGCACAAAATGAAATGTATCTAGTCACTGATTTGTGGAACATTTAAGCACTCCCCAAGTGAAAAACTCAGCTTTAGGCTCTCTTTCTGGGACAAGCAGAACATCCATGAAAATACCTGACTTGAAGCTACTGAGGAAACAGTACAGACATACCTCTACTGGCTGGGTTTCAAGAGAAATAATTTTCTCCAAGAACCTTACGGTTTTAGGAGACTACTTACTTGTTTTAATACATTTCTCTTCCTCACAGTAAGAATCTAGATAAAGACCAAAAACTCTCAAAATTAAAGAAAATAAAATCTCAAAGTACTTAATATTATAATATTAATGACATAAGTTAACACCTCCTGTGATTGTCAATTTAAATACCAAAACTCCCTACTGTTACTAGCAGTATTGATGTGGGAAACAGAGGCAGAAGAAAAAGTATTAAATTTCCTTACTACCTACAGCCCCACTGACAAGTCCTTGAAACAGAGAGTAACACTCCTCTAGGGACTCAGCTGCCTCCATGTTAATACTTTGCTAAGGGCAACAGGTAATCTTAGCCCAACCTCCAAGATCCTGTAAGTTTACTTTAACATATAAAAATTTCTTTGGAAATTTTAGATATGTGTTGGCAATCATCTCCCAAGCATATGACCCACCGATATACATCTGAAGGGTCTCATGACTCAGTTTTTATTAGACAGTAATAAATGACCTTTTCCCAATAATAGCTAGCCCCCTCAAGGTCCTGAAAACCTTATTCCAAAATTCCTTAGAGACTTAAGCGATCCCTAACTCCCTCCCAACTTGAAACTATATAATGGGCTACTGCTCATGACCCCGGTGCAGCTCTTTCTGACCACGGGTCCTGTCCCCATGCTTTCATAAAACCACCTTTTTGCACCAAAAACATCTCAAGAATTCTTTCTTAGCTGTCAAACTCGAACCCTAATGTCTTTTCCTACATCAGTATCATTAATAAATGAGAATTACTCAACTTATCAAATTATATAATAATACCCTAGTGAAATGGTATACCAAAGAGGCAAGTTTCAAAAGAGGAAATAAATATAGAGGGAGAAATCTTGCTCAGGAGACAAGCAAAAGAAGAAAGTAGGAGATGAGGGGCATATAGTTGCACTGGAACACTAGAAGGTTGGCTATGGACATTAAATAGTTCAAGTCTCAGAAAAAGGAAGCCAAATGAAAGCAGAGCCAAACACAAGCGAGCACACAACATTGCCTAGGGTAAAATGCAAAAGCTACATAAAGATTCATTTATTTACAGAAATATCAAACAGATAGTAAATATATTAACAAAAAATAGAAATTTTATCTTGACAGCATCACAAAAACATCCACCACTCCTTTAAAAAGTCGAGAAAAAAATTTTCACCATGGCCTATATTATATTCTCTATAAGACATAAAAGGAACACAATAAAAACCTAAGAGCATGCAGAGCTACAAGTTTACATATATCTGCACACATGCCCCACCATGTTTTCCATTTCCTGACACAATGCCATTAAAATCGGGGATTTTTTTCCCCTCTACTTTGGCTCCATGTAAGGTGCTGACTTTTCCCTTGGATAGGCTGGCAAAGCTCAGCTTGTCAAAGCTTGCATAACCTTGAAGAACACATATAATTTCCAGAAGAAATAAAGGAAGAATAGAAAAAGAGATGAGTTTCCAAAAGAAATAATTTTAAGTTGTACATATCTATAGTCCTCATCCCTTAGAGATGATGTTACTGGTGGTATTTGTTACCACATGCATGAATCCTGAAAAGACCAAAGCAGTAGAACTATCCAAGTGCAGCTGCAGCTATCTTACAAACTATAGTTTCAACACAATGAAAAGGATAATAATGCCAAGGATGGAAAGCTCTGGGATTGTCACCTAGTCAGAAAGAATACAGATCTGGAGAAAGATCAGATTCGACTCATTTCAGAAAATGAACAGGAAAACCCTGTAACTATACTGAGGATCTCTAATTAGCCAAACAGCATAAAATCTGTACACTAAAATTCTTCACATTATGTCAAAATGAGTGTGTTTTCTAAATAGTTGCTAAGTACAATGATCTATTACGGATACAGAAATGAGAAATGTCTGGTTTCTCAAGGTTTACTAAGAGTAGGAAGTAATGTGTCTAAAATATAGGAAATTACCAAAAAATATGGTGCATATTCCTAGCATGTAAATTTTATACAAAGATATGACAAGAGGAGAGACTTTACTTTTTATAAAATACTTTATAAAATATAAACTATAATAAAAGATGAAAAGAGTGAACAGAAAAAATAAAACACACATTTCCTAACTATCACCAGCAGTTTACCTGCAGACATCTTCACTACCACCCACCCCTAAAGTATCCATTATATTCTGTAGTGTAGCTACTTCAAAGGAAAAGTAAGACAAAGGATGAAGGAAAGTTTAAATTACACTATACAGACAATATTCTACTTCCAATCAAAATGGGAGACACACGGGCCAGATTTAACTTTCCAACTAACACAACTAGAAAACTGAACAAGATATATGAAACAGTGGCTTTCAGATATTAGACCACAGGTAGCGAAGGACTGTAACACTTGAAAGAAAGGAAATAAGAAAAGTAAGCATTGTAATTGCCCAGCTTACAAACAGGAGTCAGTTTATATGCTACAAGACATAGTGGCGAAACCCAAGCAAAACTGAGTTGAGGAGACAGAGTTAAAGGTTTATAAGGCAGGGCCAAGAACTTGAGAAAACTACACTAAGAATCCCAGAGATAGAAAAGTCTGCTCAAGTCTTGGGATGACTAAAACCCATACATAAATGACAGAAAATTATAGAAGACTAGGAAAAGATAAACAAAAGTGAGTACAGCATCTGGAGCTCACACACAGCAGACAACAGTTTAGATTCCTACTAGTCAGAGTGGATAAACCTTGTAATACATAGAGGATTCAGCTGAATCCTCAGGAGCACATCTCCTTAGTAGTGGGGTTAAATGAGACCTACAATAAACTCTGTTAGTATGGACCCATACTAACAAATCTTAAAAATATGCCTCAAAATAATCCAAATGATTTCAAATAACTTAAATGAGAGTTGGAACAATATACACTATTTGAAATGATACAACAAAATTCAACAATCAACAAGATAAAACTCAAAATAGCTTCATCCAATCAAAATTAACAGCCATTCAAAAAAATCAGAAAGAGACTGCAGGGAAGATGGCGGATTAAGAGGATCCTGGGGTTACCTCCACCCCCAGACACACTTGAGGCTCCAAATACATATAACGCAACTCATTCTGCAAATGACCCGAAGACTAGCAGAACAGCTCTTCCCTCTTTCTTTAGGGATATAAAGAAAAAGTCACATCAAGAAAGGCAAGAGGGGGGCACCTGGGTGGCTCAGTCCTTAAGCGTCTGCCTTCTGTTCAGGTCATGATCCCAGGGTGCTGGGATCAAGCCCTGCATCAAGCTCCCTGCTCAGTGGGAAGCCTGTTTCTCCCTCTCCCACTCCCGCTGCTTGTGTTCTCTCTCTCGCTGTCTCTCTCTCTCTGTCAAATAAATAAATAAAATCTTAAAAAAAAAAAAAAAAGAAAGAAAGAAAGGCAAGAGGGACTGAGAAGTGGTCAGAAAA